AGAATGAATCACAAATGTAAAGGAGACAGACAAACACAAAGGCAGAGAGAAGGTAAGATGAGTACTGGGAAAGGAGTCGAATATGACATTCAGCGTGGTGATGGTAGCTTGAAGTCGGAAGTCAACTGCCGATTTATTGGCTTTTTTGTCGTATGAGTATACGTTCTCTGGTTAGTCAAGTATCTAAGTTAACGAATTAGATTGGCTTTTTGGAGTGAGGAGTATTGGATTGTCTATGTAACTCTTCTTCATAGGTGAATTAAGTATAGAAAAAAAATGAAAGTCGTTATAGGGGTGGTCTTAGTACATATTTTTATAATAGCATCACATAGATAATGACAATAGAGAACATTTATTTATATCAAATGGCAGGCATTTTGATAGTTATCATTAGCCCTTTAGTTGACTCCAGGCTTCACAGAGGGGAAGGAACATCAAAGTGAAAAAGGTCGAGATGGGGGGGGGGGAACAGGAGGGTGCTTCAAAGACGAAGGTAGAAAAAGGGTGAGATGAGCACAGCGAAAGTTGTGGAATATGACATACAGTGTGGTCATGGTAGTTTGAAGTGAGAAGTCAACTGCTGGTTAATAGACTTTTTTTGCCGTGTGCACCACGTGGAGGTAAGTCTATCGTACACCCCATACAATAGAGAACATAGACAAAAACTTAAAAAAAGCATGCAAAGGAACATACTCTTGAGTTTAGGAAGCAAGTTGGGAGGGTTTATTGGGAATTGATGAACCATAAAATGTGCATTTATTAGCAGTGGATGATAATTTCATTAATATGAATTGGTCATTTTGAGAAAACTGAATATTTTTTTGCGTCTAATTTAACTCCCATGTATCCTCTAAATTGATTCGTTTCTTCCTCACAACCACTGTGGTCAAGTGGAGACCCTTTATTCTCTGATTTTTAACAAATTTCTGGGCTTACCTCCTCGCACGATCCACATAGGGTAAACAGAAGCTTTTGCTTAGTCATTATGGGAAGTGAAAAAAAATAAATAAAACTTTGGAAAATTAATATTAAGACAATGCCAGCATTTTAGGTGCAATTTATGTGTGTGGATACTAAAACTAGTTCAATGAGAGGATAAATGTGTCTATTACTGTTTCACCGCTTCGCATTATAAAGTTAAAAAAATATTGTTTTTTTCGGGTTCAATAATTAGGTTCTTATTAAATTCACATCGTTAACAAACAGAGCCTATTGAATGAACGGCTGAAGACGGCACTGAACAACCTGTGGCTCAAGTATTATTATGGGCAATGATCCGACAACATGGATATGCAATTAATTCTTAAACGATTTTAAGAACATTAGTGAAAATTCAAACTTCAGATGTGGAAGTATGAAACCAAATTCACATATTGGCCATCAAGAAACAAACAAACAGTTGCACGCAATGCAACAAATCACTCAATCGTAAGTTGGCCAATCAGCGATTGACATGAGGTATATAAAACTGGGGAGCGGAATAATCTAAAGTAGTTAAACGATGACCATGTTGGCTCTTCTTACATTTGGCCTCCTCATTGTCCATTCAACAACCGTAACCTCCAGGGCTATGGTTTCTAATCGCGCTGGTTTGGCATCCACCCTTTCCAGAGAAGATTTAGAGGCAATGGGAGTTGAGATGTTACCTCCACCAGATAATTTGGTAATTATCTTATTTGAAATATTAAATGTAGACAATAATTATTAGTGACTTAACGAATAGGAAATTAGAAATCTAATTACTTGATTCACAGTGTTTGTAAAAGTATACTACTAGAGGAATACTTTAAATTTTATGTCGTAAGAGGTTCTTATTAAATGAATTTCAATAGCATCAGGCGATGCCAGCTTCGGCGAACTCACAGTGAATTATTTCTTTAAATCTCCATCATCAAGCTTCAACTTAGTTGGCCGAAGTTAGTACCTTTCATGGAAAGCAGCTTATTTGTAAGAAAATTCGATTTTTTTTAAATTTATCAGTGAATCAAAAGCATAAAATATATTCTCTTAAATTTTCTATAAAAAATAAAGGAAATATTGGGACAAAATAAGCAGTTTTGTGCTTGTTCATTTTTCTATAATGCCACTTCAACGTTATTAAAAAGTTAATGATAAATTTACCGGAAACTGAAATGATTTACCTCACAATTCATAAATATAAATGAATGGTTAAGTATGCATCCTGTTGTTTAGTTACTTCTGAATAGAGTTTTTAAACAATTTATTTAAAGAAAGGACACCAATTTTCCTTCCATTTCCAACCAAAATGAAGATTTGCCTAATATTAGAATGACAGTTGGTAAATTATTTCTGAATAAACAAGATAAATTATAATGTTTGTTTTGGTTAATTGGCATTTTAACCATTTTTAAAAAAATTAACGCATTTTGTTGGAAGATTTGTTCCTAAGAAGAGAATACCAGTATTATAAGCTTTTGAGTTAAATGATCTTTAACTATTTCCTGCTTATTTCACTTTTAGCATCTTTTGTTATACTAAAAAAATTTATTTTGCTATTTCCTCTAAATAGGGGAAATCCAATGACATCCATGTGTCAATGTATGAAAAAGTAGGAATTATGAGTAGTAGATATAGGAATCATGTTTTTAAACCTCTCAATATCTGTTTGAATAGTATGGTAATTCAACAACACTCGGAGTTTATGCCACTCCAAACCACGTTTAGTTATGAAACCTTTGAAATTGTTGCCTTATTGCAATTTCGATGACAATTAACTTCAACGAGAACACTCTTTCGTTTTCTCTAGGCGGAGTACGCTTACCTAAAGCCACGAATGTGGGATATGAGTGGGAAAATGCCCTCCCGTGGAGCCAACAAACGATTCTTCTGCAATCCATGGGGTTGTGTGCAGTCTCGGTGAAGATTCAATCGGCAACATTCTATTCAAATACTTTGCAACTCCTTACCCCGTTTTTTTCCATTCATAATGAAAGCCATATCAATAAAAGACAAGTGTATTTTAATCCTTTTTTTTCGTTTTGAATGGACCTCGATTCGGGTGGTTTCAGTGGCTTTAATTTGATTATGATTCCTATAGTTCTATCTGTCAGGCTCATTAAGCACTTGCAATTGAATATATTTAGAGGATGGATATACCGTTTAATATGCGTTAATTGAATTTTTATAAGTAATCCTATTTGACTGAAAACTTGTCCGTAGAAAAGAGTTTCGATCTAACTAGACTTTTCATTCAGTGAAAATATTTTCAGCTAATATTACAATATATATTGTAAAATCTAACTATCCACCCAAAAGTTATAAAGGCCTTATTTTAAAACCTCCTCAATCATAATAATATTTGAATCGGTATGCTAATGAGAATTTGCTAGCGTCGAATAGTTTCTGTTTCCTGAATGTTTGTGAAGCATTCGAGTGCCAAAAATTATAAAGAAGGTGAAAGATGACCGTTTCGTTTTTTTGAAGATTACATCAGATAATAAATGCATTGGTGTTCAAATAAATCAACAACCATTAACCGAATATGCCTTTATGCCAAAAAATATTAAATAGTTAAATGGAAGTGGGCAAGTTCCACTTCAATGACAAATTTCAGATTCATTTCAATCACATTTACAGTTTTTTTTGACAAAAATCTCAAAATGAAATTTAAGAAGTTAAGAGAAAACCTAATCAAATTTGGGAGACAATTTCTACCTTACGGAAACAGGGGTGTGCGATAGACTTACCTCCACGGGGTGCACCCTGGACAACGTATACTCATACGGCAAAAAAATCTATTAACTGACATTTGACTTCTGACTTCAAACTACCATGGCCCAACTGCTTGTCATCTTCGACCCCTTCCTCAGTACTCATCTTACCTTTTTCCCTACCTTTATGTCTGTCTGCCTCTTTTACATCTGTGAATCGCTCTTCTATTCCCCACCCCTCGACTTTCTGCTACTTTGATGAACCTCCCCTCTGTGAAGCCCGAAGTCAGCTAAATGGCTAATGATAGCTATCAAAACGCCTGCCATTTGAAATAAATACCTTACGGAAAGCCTATAGAT